CCTACAGACAGACACTTGACTGAAACCCTGACGTGCTCCACCTCTCCTGCCTGGTGCTGTTCAAACATTTATTGGATTCAATGCATTATGTAAAGCACTTAAAATTGCCTGTTTGAAATGTGCTATGTAAATAAACTCGCCGAGCCCATTCTAATGAAAAAAAAAAGATATATATACATATAAAAGGAGGGCAGGTTTCGTGTGAAGACAATACATGATATTTATGTTACAAGTGAGAAAAACAACAAAATCAATGAACCCTCAAGTGATAATCACGTCTTCCTGACCTTTGGACGTTTACATCCTTTCTCCAGAACTCTTGGTATTTACCTTGAACATGATCTATATGTCTAACTGTCTGTGGCATGGTGGGCCTTTTCCCCACAGCCCATTGTCAATAGGATCAAACATCCAACAGATCAAAATCAATCGTTACGTATTGAAAAAAGTGCCTGAATCAATGCGACAAGAACCCAAATATTACTCCATTAGAAGATATAATCCATACAGCTACAGGAAAGAATCTGCTCCAGGATAATGGGATGATCGACATTCATGGATTGATAAGGTCACGTAAAGGTTAAACTTTCCAAGACCATCTGTTGGACTGAGTTTCAACCGCATTGGAGCAGTGTGGTGAAAGGTGACATTTTGTCTGCTGTCTATGTGCAGTTCATCATTTCTTCCTAATGATGCTCTGTTTCCGCAGAGGATGGAGAAAGAAACCCACACGAGTGCAAACTTCCTTACTGAGCGATCTGGATTCGTCAAGTCTTAATGTGAAGGTTTCCATGTCAGCTCAGAGGAAAATGGGAGTCTCATAGCAACCTGACCTGCACCAGAATAACAGTACATTGATGTGCTAGCCTCCTCATTACCAAAGGACTGCACATTCTAAATTGATGTGGCTGCCGACTCCAAGTCAACTCAGGATAATGATTGCTTCGTTCTGAGGTATCTATCATCAGTTCATACTATATCATTAAACAATGTAACTCCTTCTGATGAGTGACTGAAGACCAATTTCCAGTTTACACTTATTATTCACCAACCAACAGATGAGGAAGCTCAACCTCTGAGAGGAGTGCAGATTGTCAGATTGTTATAGAGAGGCTGCTTAGAACAAAGACATTTCCACAATGAGCCTTTCTGAGAGGCAGTAACAGATATCCAAGCTATGTTATTAAAAAGACGCCTTTTGTATTACTCGGTAGCGGTTTGGAACTAATACGTTGACTCTTCTACTGCTCCTAAGAGGACATACAAATCGTACCTGTAATGTTACCCATAATTCTGTTCTCATAACCCCAGAGTGGAATGATGGTACACCACGTGGCCAAAAGTATGTGGACATTCTAACATTACACCTATGCTTGATTGTTGACCATCTCATTAAAAACCTTGAGCATTAACATGTTGCTATCACCTCCCCAACTTCTCTGGGAAGATTTGGATTCTGGATTTCATAACCCGGATGCAGGTATTTGCTCTGCGCTCACGTGTAAAGTGTTTCAACTTAGCCAAAGATTACATTTTTTTTTTTTCATAATCCTAAAGCAAACAACAATATATATATATATAGTTTTGGTGTAAATCAAAGCGCGACAGCATCATTGTAGAGTGTTTTTCACAAACTATACGGTCATACAGGAATAAAAAACATTTTAAGATATCCTGAGATCATTTGTCCCTGTATCTGTGACCTTTGACCCTTCCCTGTGCTACTGTTTATCTTTGACTGAAAACAACAAATTGTCTTCCATCCCCTGAAGGGTCCAAAAAGGCATCGATGGAAACAAAGCAAATAACTAAGTGAGGCACAAAAGAACAAGAAAACAAGACAGTTTGGGGGAAAGTGAATACATCAAAAGAATCAATTCAATTACTCAAACACAAAACAACTCTTGCGGTGCATTGAATATTACAGATTGATGATGCGTACCAGTACGACAGAGAGATGCAGGGCTCCTCAAAGCATTCAAGTGAGAGCTTAAAAGTGTATTTCGGGGGAATACGGCAAGGAGGCTCAGACATCATCACCTTGTTTTCTCTCCGCAGCAATTTCAGAAAACTCGCTGCGGTGTCGTAATGTCAAATGTCAAGGGATGAAGTGTGATATCTTGAGGAAGGAGGCAGTTGAGAGAGCTTGAAGTTTTAACAGCCAATCAAGATCACAGGGGAACTCGCTGGATATTCCCAGTATGAGCATCACAAACGGAGTGCCGCGATGGTCGTGAATTCAATCTAACCCGAAATAAAATGCCAGGATAGGTAGGCAAGCGAGGCAGCAAGTGACACGTCAGCCCTGCACAGAAAACAGCATTAATTCAAATCAAATCTGACAGCAGAACAAAAGCTCATGAAGCAGATTTGTTTCTGGAGGTTGAATCCCTGGTTGGGTTGTGTTCAAGAACATAGAAGTGGCACAAACATGTTCATGTATTAAGGAAATGAATCACCCCGTCGTCAAAGTGCTTAAAAATTGAACATATTAGCACTCTGGAAACAGACTTGCGCTGCAGTTAGTCTGCTTGGCTTGACTGCAGACAATTATTCCACATCTGCACAAGACTGAGTGAAAGCAGCGCATTCAACTGTCAGACTGAATTACGGACCGAAAATGTGAGGCATCTGTCCCACAGAGAAAGCGGTGGAGAGGCCCGCCCACCGAGGGGCTGAGAAGAGCATTTATACAACATGTTTTAATCAAGCATTTGAGTCAATTATAGCTGAGGAACCACATCCATTAGGAGACGAAATAGGGAGTGGGCCACGGACGATGTGCGCTGATTAATTGGGGCCCGCCATTTACAGATCTCTCAGTTCATCCCTTGAGTTCCATAACAAGAGCCCAAAAAGTGTCTCTCCACATTCGCCTTTCCCACTCCTCCCACTCTCTCCCTCTCACCTGCCTAATTAACTGTCAGCCGAAGCCATTTACGCTTCTATATTTGAGTGTTTTTCAGAGTATGAATATTAAAATTCCACCAATACTGCCACACTGCGTTCGACTGGGTTCTCTCTGTGGATGACAAGAGCATGCTAACCCAACGCTAACAGGAAGCGATAGGAGGTTGTACAGGCAGAGGATCAAATAGGTGTTCATATATTATGTACACAGAGGTGCTGACTTTGTGTAGAATATCAATGGGTGCTGAGGCGAAGGAGGAGCATAAAAAACTGTTTCTACTGATCCCCATCCACTGGAAAATCAAAATCAAGAGGAAAATCCAATCTGATACATTTGGGGGATGAAGGTCTAGAAAGCTGAAAGAAGCTGAAAATCCCTGACAGAGAATGAAAAGTACAGTAAAATGTTCAGTTACACAATAATTAAAATCAACCCCAAAACCAGAACAGCAGCACGTTTCTTATCTTTGGAACATTAATGTCTGCTCTATCAGGTAATGCGTATTGTAAATCTCCATCATCCACTATCAAACACTCAATCAGATGAAAAAAGCCAGAGAGGCTTTTATCCATCATCAATTTAAAGCTACAGTGATTTGCGTCTATTTTGTGATTGCCACCTTTTACCTCTGCGAGCCAGTTGTGTTCGTCGCCCATGACAAATTGACTTCAAAGAAAGTCTCCATCATGACCCATTTTCCCTTCCACCAACAGCTGAGCTCTCGTCCAATAAGGCACAAAGCGGGAATTTCCCCATGAGCCCCTGAGCATCAAAAGCTGGTAAGGCAAATGGAGGACTGCTGTTCTGAGGCAGCCACATGAGGCAGAAATGGAGGCAATCATTTGAAGTAATGCTAAGATTAGGAATTTGAAGGTAGCGTGAGTGGAGGTTATGTAGGATTTCTCAGAAGTAACAGCAGCACTTTGAGTCATTTCTGACTCATTACGGCTGAACAAACCAGCATCCATGTTGCACAAGTTAGATGTGATCAGTGGAATTACAATGAAGAGGCACTCCAATGGAAAGGAAGAGAAAAGGTGGCGGACATGGCTTTCAAACCCACTGAATTAACTTTCTCTTTCATACACAAATGTGTCGAATGACTCATCTCGTGTTTTTCCTCCATCGAGAGGAAAACTCGAGGTCCATTCACAAAAGGGCACAGAGAACAGACCTAATTGAAAATCTTCTACTGAACACTTCAACACTTGTTATGTCAGATCTGTGCAGATGCAAAGCACAAATTGAACTGATAGGAAAGTGTTGGAGATCAATACAGTTCAACACAACACACTCCAATGCTAGCAACTAGTGTCAATGGTTTGATCTAATTGAATTTGACTGAATTTGAACTTTGATGTCAAGTACTCGGAGGATCACAGAGTAAAAGTTTCAGCAATACCATAAATAAGAGCTGGTATTCAACTAATGTGCAAGTCTCAAAAAACAGGTAAATTCAGCATAGTCTATACTTCCACAGCAATAATTCCATTAGTACAACAAAACTATGGTTTTCACCACAGTATTTTCGAACACTTCTACTTTGCCATTTGTTGTTGGGAACTCAACCTTTCACCTTAAAGACCTGCTAGGAAAGGAGATACTGCTCAACCTAACCTGCTAGAAGTCTTTATATGAAACAATTGTGCAGGAAGTGTTGATGAGTTGCTTAACGGTAAGAGAAAAATCAATAAAGTAGAAGCATTTTCAATGAATTAGTGCTTTGAAACAGTATTTCTTTCAAAGAGAGAAAGGAGGAGCACCAGAGTGCTGAGTATGACATGTATACAATCGTTTCAGGATAATCTGCACTAATTCTATCAGTACAACAGGTAAACAAAGAGGATGTGTTGAGATTGCATTGACAGCAAACGGCGTCAACAATCAATGGAAATGGGAGCAGATCAGAAAACAGGGAGGACTCTTACTAAAATATGATAAACATGAAGATATTGTTCCTAACAAAGCCACAGTTAAGTAGAACAGCTCCTACTTTGAGGGAATTGGCTTTGCCACGAGTATGACAGCACACGTTCCACCGACAGACAGAATAAGCCATCAGTGTGGGGAATAAAACACGTCTCCTTACCTATTGCCATCTCTATGACGCTCATTTGGCTCTCCGACGGGGAAAGGATTTTCGGCGGCTTGTCAGTCAGGGGAGCTGTGAGAAGGCAAACAGAGAGAAAATGAAGAGCACATTAAATTCAACATCTTTCTCCCCCGTGGACCGCGGGAGTATGATTTATTCATTAAGGACCACAATAAAGGCTGCATTAAAAATGGGAACAAATAAAAGGAAATATAATATTTAAAGAGTGGACGGAGAAAGAGACCGGATGACTTACTATGACTCAGAATTACCCATTCAAAGCTTTAAACATCAATGCACATGCTTTGAAAGAAGCAGCTGCTTCAATACTGATGCTATTCATTCCTCGTAAAAAACACTATAACTGAGGATATGGGTTTGACATGGATTGCTATATAAACCGCACTGTATATGCAGCAGCTGTGTAACTAGTCAACCATTTCTGGATCTGCAGAACATATACCCTAAGGTAAAAATCCTTCACAGCTGCAGTGGGCATGGGAAGGTTAAGAGCTGCTGCAGGAGATGCAGTATTTTTCAGCTGTGTACACATGATATGACTGGGAAGTATACATTTTTTTGACATACCATGAATACTTCCTTCCATTAAAAGAAAATTAAAGCAAAACCTTCTGCACAAGCAATGTGGTGTATGTTGTCAAAAGGTCAGCAATGAGCGGGTCGCTGATCCAAAAGTGTATCACAGTGATATCAGAACAGCCGTCGCCCCAATGCCCTTCGAAAATACACCGACTCCAATTAGACAGCTGCTGAGTAACAAAAGCCGTGCACTTAGAGGCTCCTCATTATAATGATTCCCTAATTGGTTCTAGTCTTCAAAGTGGCATCAGAGAGGTTTTCTATCTGTGCACGCTGGGAAATACTCGGAGGGACGAGGCTTGTTTCAGTACAAATGACTTGTGGTTCGACTGCAGCACTGATCGCTGAGCTCATCCTGGAAAAAAAAAACCACAGAGAGGAGCGACAGAATGGAGGGAGGTTTTTCAAAGTTCACATCGAACCTGTTCCTCCATACTCCAGTTCTCTGGTGATGTAACTCACCACAGCAGAGAGTGTTCGCTACAGTTACGTGTTTATATAAAGCCTTCCGGCTAGTTATCAGATTCAAAATGCAGTTATTCAGATTCCTGCATTCATATGTTGAGTTTTTTTCTATTTGGTTTGTTCAATACAGGGCAGCTGAGGGTTTTATGATGCAACTGACAGACCCTGGAAATGCACTTTTGAACTACTGAGTTGAAATCTGTGCGTGAGATTCTGTCTTGACACGGCCAGTAAATACATTTTTGAAAATGATTCATTTGAAGACACTACGTTTCCGCTGAAGACAGCGAGACTTGTAGCTTTGCAGAAAAGCAAACGATGAGCTAATCAACTATGAAATGCCAAACGCCATTTGTGAAATACTTAAAAACAAGAGACCATATAGAGGTTTGATATTTATGCGGGTATTTTGTTTAAGTTGTCCTCTCTTGGTACAATCTCTTAATTTGTTTGGATGTACAAACAAATACACAATGTTCCTTCAGTGACCATAACTCGGTCTTAAATACAACTTGTTAAGAGGAGTGGGCTGAAAGAATGGGCAAAAATGCCTGTGTGAGCTCATTAATTACAAATTTAATAAAAGGACCGGAGCAAACGATGCCTTTCCCTGTGCCTGCCGTGTTTCAGTGCTGTGCAAAGAAACCTCATTACCTTAATTACCTTCCTTCTTGATGAAATATGCTTAGATTATTTTGTTTCGTTACGGCTTGAAAAAAAAACAACTTTTGCCACTCTGATGGTTTGTCTTACACAAGACAATGCTGGATTTGAGAGGAAAAGATGGTGCACGGGCAGGAATGTGGCTGCGTGTATTTATAGTAACATGAAAAGAAGCTCAGCTCATTGCTTATACGGTGAGTGAGTTTGAAAGCCATACATTATATATGTGCATTAATGATAAAACAGGAACATAGAAAATGCAATAGTAATAGAATAATTGTAACTATGATTCGAAAATATGTGCAACCGCACTACTGTCAAATTTATGTCAAACGGACATTTTAATGACTTATTTTCAACTTTTGTAGATTTCATTGGCCGTGTGTTATGCATTATAGTGAAGCACTCCTGGCAATTGCCTCCAGCACCTCGAGGTAGGAAAGCATCATCGTGTTTGAAGTTACACAATCAACTGCTGGGATGTTGCAAACGTGAAAATGGAAAATGCAGCGCAGGTTGAAAATAACCTGAACGCTGCAGCGCTGCTCCTGGTGACCGTACCCACAGATGTAGTCATGTGCTATTCATGCAACACAACTGCACACCGCACACCAACGACTCTCTGATCGTTTAGATGAGCAGAGCAGAATGAAGCATGAAAAGCGATCCAAGATTAATTCAAAAGGTGGAGCTATCAGCCTCCGCAAAAATGAATTATATTTACCCAGAGGACAGCAATCCAAGGAAACATTTTGTCCAGTATATTGTAGTCTGGAGGGGATCTTTTATTTTTTTGCAATGTATGTTCCTACAGTAATTTATCCAACTGAATCCTTTTGGGGGGCTTCTTAAAAATGCATTTTCCCCTTTACTGTACAGTTCTTAGTATAGAGGCAGACAGGAGATGAGGGGAGAGAGGTAATACATGCAGTATATGCATACATGCATATACTGTGTGAGCTGTGACCATTTGGCTACCGGAGCACCCCCAAGTTTATCGTTAAATGTTAACAAATCATATAAAGTAGCCTACGTTCTGCTGTTGAAACTCAAGATCTTAAAACCTGTTCTATCATGGTAGTCGTCAGGATTTCCACACCCAGTGTGGAGAAGTGGACCAGCACAAATTGGAGTTTCTGTTAAGATCTTAGGGAGCACACCTCCTGAGTTATCAGCCGTTTCTGCCATTTTACCACCTAGAAACTGTGGCCTTAGTCTGTGCTCTTTGACTGTGACTCCAGAATGTCACCTGATCCAACAGGACTAATCTATTGACTAAAAAGGGCATGTCATGCTGCTCACTGCGGTAACCTCACTTTGTAATTTTAACTGACGAGGTGGATTTATTTAGATTTTATTTATTTCTTTAAGTCATGCCTGGACAGGTATCGAGGATATAGAGTTTCTCTCTCATTCAACTGTGAAGTCTCGTTTTGGTATGCCGGTTGCACTGAGCCGGTTGAAGGTGAAATCCCAATCCTGGAAGGCAATCAACATCGTGGAACGTTTTTTGAAGAGCTTATTTTACAGCTAAAGGTAAAAAGAAAGTAGGAGAAGGCTGTTTAACTCATCCAAATCAAGGGCACGCTGCTGATATGCTGTTTGTCAGTGGGATCCCACCGTGCTGGAAGGCACGCAAACAGACACAGACACACACACATTTGAGATGCATTAGTGAAGCTGGCTGGCGTTCAACTACAAAACCATAATTCTGTGGTGGGTTTTTTGTAAAAGGGAGTAGGCAGGCTTTTCGCTGAAGGGCGAGCAATACAACCAGCCTGACCTGCTTCCCTACACACAAACAGCATGGGCGGGCACACACACACACACACACACACACACACACACACACACTCCTGCACACATGGAGGAGCCTGGCGTTGGGAGAAAATCTTTAAAGTGTCCCTCACAGGCCCTGTGATCTGCTCTCGTTGTGATCACATGATGATGGATGGATGGGGGATGGAGTAATGAAAGAGGGGAGAAAAAAAAGACCTTGTTCTCTCCCATTAACTCTCCCATCGCCTTCCCTCCCTCCCCTATCCGTCTGTCGCTGTATGTCTTTGTCACCCTGTCTGTCGGTTTCTCTCAGGGGTGAGAGAGAGTGGGAAGATGAAGAAGGAGGGAGGGAGAGGGTTGTGGTCCTCTGTTCACACCTCATTAAAGACTACTTCAGCAGACATAGATTAAGAGGAGTAGTGTGTGTGTGTGTGTGTGTGTGTGTGTTTGTGAGCTTAAGATCGTTAAAGGAAAGTGTGAGTTCCGCGGGAGAAAATATATGAAAGCAGTTTTAGAGCAACTCGAGAAGCAAAACCTTGTTAGTCAATCACATGCAAAAGAAAAAATAAATAAAATATATTCGACTCCTGTTGTGTTTCTGATTCAGTTTATTCAGATCAGTACACACAATCACTGATAGAACATCTGCCTGAAGATTTTCCTTCTTAAATGTCAATCCTGATCAGTGACTTGATACATTGACAGAGTAATGACAAAGGTTTCCTGAAGAGAAGAGAAGGCTCAATTCAGATGGTATTCTCTAAAAAAAGAGTCGTCAAATGCTGATTTGTTGTCCACAATTATAACAAGATGAAGACAGACGTGCAGCGAAATAAATGGGACATTTTCTAAACACTTATTTTGAAGACTTAATTTGAATGTGACTGTCAAAACAAAGAGAGGGGCTTTATAAAAAAGCGTATATTAGCGAGCCTAAATGATTGAATCAAGTTGTCAACTCATCACTGTGCTTAAAAGAAGGCAACAGCTGACCTAACTTGTGCAAACCAACCCAGCTGAGACCTGATCATTTATATCGGAAGATATGTCATTTGAGTGAGTCCGAAAGACTCAAGAACTTAAATGTGTTGAATAAGTTAGCATTAATGTCTTCAGACTGGACTTCAGCCGAGGGGTTCTCTGGAGAACTGGGCAGGAAAATAAATTTGCCAGCCGCTGTCAGGGACTGTTAAAGTTTTGAAAAAGTGACTGGCTTCCTCAGGGCAGAGAGGATAAATGAACCACGAACCAGCAAACTGAATTCAATACATCCCTTTGTCAGGTGTGTGCTGGTAAATAATCGAACCCATCTGGATGATCGAAATAAGGTGAAATTACTATAAAAACACTATAAGGGAACAATACTTGAGTCAATTGCTGGAATTAATTGCCAGAAGTTATTATTATTACTACATTGTGCACTTGCTGTGCTGTATTTTCGAGAGGCTGCCATCAAGTACTTACATGGTTTTATTGTGCAACGTTCTCTTTCATGGCTAACTATACAGGTCAATAGACCGGAAAAATGCCATTGTAAATTCTTAATGTGACCGCAGCTGAAGGAA